CGCAGCCTGCGCGCGCAGGCCCATTCCACACTGCCACACCCACCGTGTCTTGTGTGTGTGCTGTGATGTGTGTGTGTGTGCTGGTGTGTGCACCGTGCGTTCGTTGCGTTGCGTCGAGGCTGTGTGTGTGTGTGTGTGTGTGCTGTGGTGTGTTGCTGCCGTCGCCGTGCCACCCCGCCCCGATCGTGCGGTCCAAGGCGTGTCGCACCCGGGTCGTGGTGTGTGCCACACCCCCTTATGTGTGGTGCCCACTGGGTGTGTGTGCCGACGTGTGTGTGTGTTAGGTGCAACACTTCTCACAAGGTTGTGTGTGATTTGCGGATGTGTGTTGCTGTGTGAGTGTGTGTGTACTTACGATTATTGGGTGTGTGGGTGTGGTACCGGCGAGGAGGTGTGCCGCGTGTGTGAGTGTGTGGGGGATGTGTGGTTGTGTGTGGTCTGTGTGGGTATTAATTATGGGTGTGTGGGGTGTGCGGAGTGGGGTGTGGTCTGCGTCTCGTGCGCGCGTGAGATGCGTCCGGCCGGTGCGCGCACGTTGATGGGTGTGTGTAGGTGGGCGGTCTCTCTGAATGGCTGTGTAGCCCGTGTTTGTGTTAGCATGTATACGGGTATGATCCGCAAACAAACCGAACTACCAGAGACCGACACACACCAAGGACCATACACTCGAACGCGCAACACACACACACAACACACACACAACATTTTGTTGTAAACACACACACACAACAAACACAAACACCAGAATCACACACACACACCCAACACCACACACAACACAAACACACCGACACGACGGCCGCCTGCCACACAACCACACACACAACAGCGACACACACACACGCTAGCACACAACAACACACACCACACACAACCACACACCCACACACGGCGCGCGCGGTCGCGCTCGCGCACAATCAGTGGTTATAGCGATTAGTCTGCGCGGTGAATCTCAAGATAGTGATTTGATCTCATTTCTTTGTTCATCTTCACGTGCAGACATTTGGACTCGTATGATGATGAACGATGAATGTCGTGGTGCTGTCGTGCATATCCTGCAGCTGCGTGGCGTATCTCATTTCGTAAGACTTTGATTTTTCCCATCTTATCCATCCTATTTGCCGAATGCGTCGCAAAATATATAAATATATTTCAAAGCCAACGTTATTGACCAAATTCTTTTTTGCATCAATGTTTAGTGATTAGCTCTTTCGTTGCTGCTGGTGAATTGATATCATGCATTCACTTGTAGCAGGTCACAGGAGCAAAAGACCATTCAATCGATCGAATCGTTACAAGGCGAGGCGCGGTGTGTCGATTGGAGAATAATTGCAGTCATTCGTAGACAGGTACACTGTGAAATGTGTTTGTCAGGGTCCGCCGACAGGAAGATAGGCTGACACCGTCCGCAAACCTGCCGGAAGCATGTGCTTCATGAAATAACTGATGTATAATCCGCGCTCGATTGCTGGCCGCCGATACGGAACCGCGGTAGAGAGAATTGGAAGATATATGTAAGTTTCACCAGACGCTGACCCCGTTATCTATAGCAGCGGTACTCATAGATTACTTGGCGAAATGCACCGATTGGCAATGATGTCGTGTTTCAGTTTCCGCTTATGTGCTGTGAGTCCACGAATTGAGGAGCCCTGTTCTCCGTAACCCGCAGTTTCGCATCTCTGGTGCGACCTCATAGAGAGTTCCCTAGAGGCGGGATTTACATAGTTGTGGAAGGCACCTAAACTTTTGAATACTATTAACCTACAAGTCATCCATAAAGTGATTTGTTTTCGCCACGGTAGGAAATGAATCAGAATAGCAAGCTAGCAACAATCGACGTTGATGCGATGACTTATATTTTGGGATTTTTGTCTACGACGTGTTGACTGGAGCAATGACAGGAAACATACCAGTTAGCTGTTTTACCACTCATCAAACTGGTACAATATGGCTTGCGCATGTATGACGTACGCGCAATATGGTTTGATTGATTATAGTGCCGGTGTCTGGTTCAGGTTTTCAGCCTACTATTTTTTCTTACAAATACTTTCTTTCATTAAATACATTTTTACACGTAGCATAATGTACGTACACGTAACATTACCATCCCTGCTGCAGCTCGCCCTCTGGCTGCAGCCAAAGCAGCAGACGCCAGAATTTGCCACGCAGGCCGCTCGTCGCGTAGCGGTGTTAGCGTGTGATGTAAACTGCCGACGTATATGTTATAACTGACTGCCCGCTTATTACGGTTTTATATACTCGCGCTCTGCCTCGGACCCCTCCTTTCGGCGCGCGACATTCGGATATTGCGCTCGGGACGCAGCTGCCGAGATGCCTACATAGGCAACACTCGCGGTCGCTGTGCCCGCCCAGTCCGCGAATGCGCGGCTAACCGCTCTCGGCGGTCGTCGGTAACAACGAATCTCTTGGCGCAACGCCATCTTGTACACTCGGTCTTCTGGACGGACTTGCTGGCCCCGGTTCTTGCGCGCTCATTCGCACGGCTCGGCGGCAAGCGCGCAGCCCTACGCGAAATACGCCGCCCCTTTTTGTCCACTTAGAGAGAGATATGTGAGCAGGCTGGTCTGCAAAATCGCCACTCGCGAAACTGGCGCAATTCAACCGTATATTTGCGCGATGGACGGCAGGGGGCATCCCAAACGGCCCCTATCTTTTTTTTTGGCGGTGGGCGCGCCTCATGGCTACGACGTAGCTGCTCCTCGCAAGAAATTCTCAAGAAATGCTGTCAATTCAGCCGCTTGACTCGCTCGCCTCGTTGGCCGCTCGCGATTTGAGGGCGCTAGTGCCGAGATATAGCGTTTATGTTCTCATCACGGAGCTTTTTACGAAGGTCGTACGGCCTGCCTGGGAGGTGGCGCCACTAATGCTGTCTGCAAAGATTGCAAATGCTTGCCGCCGTTACGGGCCCTTGGCTGCTGTATTCGTGCCATGTTTGTCAGCAACCCTGAGCCCGCGCTGCCCGTTCGACAACGACACGTCGTGCGAGCACCTCGCTGGCGTGTGCCGGCGGCGAATGTTTTTTCCAAACGGAAGGCATTTAGAACGGATTTAGGCGCCTTCTGATTGGCTGCGAATTTTGGCATAGATGTCAGCTCCATAACACAGGACAATAGGTCTGAGGTTCACCCCTCTTACACTTATGGTCACAGGCGCATGAAACTTTGCTGAATTACAGTTGAAACAATAGCAACCCCACCCAAACTAGATTTCCCATCCCTGAATGATGACAACAGCTTCAAATCATTGGTGGAAAATTGGCTACCATGGGTTAGGACAGGCTATTCCGAGACCATCTGAACATTGAACTTAATTTTTTTTTAAGAAATCTCATGTATATGAAATCTATTTTAGTGCTAATTTCTTACCATCATCCAAGACATTCATCAAACAATAAAATTGATTCAAAACCTGGCAAGTCATTGAAGAATTTTGACCAAGGGTGGTCAGGACAGCAATTTGCCCCCTAACCTCAGAATCACCCATTTATGGATAAATGCGGCAGGGTCGAGAGTCTGCCCCGTACACACTTATAATGCATGTAAATAATAATACAGCATTACCAGCGTCAGTGTTTCTGTATTTCTATAAACAGTATGTGGTAGACTAGCCACAAGTTCCCTTCTCGCTTAACACTACGTTGGCGAGAGGCGTCCTACGACGTGTAACAGTCAGAGAGCCTGGCCGGTTTAGTGGTAGACGTGTTCCTGTCGCTGTTGACTGTTGTCAGAGTCGGACTGTATTCAGGTCCGTAGCTACCATTAGGCAATAGGAGGCAAATGCCTCCTACAAAATTTCTTCTGGGCCCTTATAGTTATAAGCGAGCCCCATACCCCAGGCCCTATTGGCTCGCTTCGCTCCTTGTTCTTTAACTCACAACATTTGCCTCCTACAAAATTTACCTCTGGCTATGGCCCTGACTGTATTACTAATACTATTAGTGATTTAAAATTGATTGCGAAGTAAATCATCATACTAATTACTATTACTTGTAGTCATCCTGGTCTAAACACACATGATACTGTTGGTGATATTTTACCATTTGGTTTATTCTAAAAAGGACAGAAGTATAGTTTTACTGTATTGAAAAAAAAGTTGACCATACTACGTCTCATATTGCTTCTCAATGGAATTTGTGGTACAGTTATGCAAAGTCATACTCTAATATCTCTTGCGACAGAGCTCAGCAATGGAATCGACAGCAGTGAAGATGGGAAGTGGAAGGATACAATAGTTTCAAAAAAGCTCCTCATTCTGGTCCCTGAGAGTGGAGAACTACCTAGCCTTCTGCAAGATGTGGATGAGAATATCTCATTCGAAGGAAAAATTCAGATTGTTCAAGCAGATGTAGCAGGAACTCCTCAAAGGCCATACAGTAACAACATCTACAAAGCAAAAATTAATGACAAGGTGACAGCCTCGCAAAACATTTAAACCCGTTTGAACAGTTATGAGATGTGATGGTGTAACCACTCGGAAAACTCCTGGGCATATGAATCCGTGACCTAGTTTGATAAACATTTTCATATACCTAACCGGATGCCTGTTGTTCAGTCATTCCCACACACATTTATATACCGCGATCATTAACTGTTGTTAGTGAAGTGTGACTTTTCACGGTTGAATGTTGTTAATTAATTTGTGAAATGTTGGTTTACAATATTAACATCATCTGTAGGAAATTATATTTGTCGCTGACATGCCGGCAAACCTGAACACGCTTCGTGACATGGTAGCTGATCATGCTTTGACTGGAATGACGGCTGTAGAAAGACTCCACGAGGTGAAGAGGTTTGTTGACATGTTGAAGAAGACCATTAATGCGAAGGAAGGAATAGTCGAAAAGTGTGAGATCGTCATGTATGATGGTAAGCTATAGAATTTAGAAAGTTTGGTGCTAGATTAAGTAAGCATAGCCACATCAAGAGTAAGTCTTTTGATAACAAACTTTTAGTATGTGTATATCTGCTAAGTGCATGTGTTGATGCACGTGTGCTAGTATATAATATATATATATACAGTGCGCGAAATTAGTGCTATTTTGCCGGCGGCCGCTGGCTCAACCCCCCATATAATCAGTCCACTTTGCCTATCTTGCCTTTATATCAATAATATTGACCAATTTCCTGACTAGTTTTTACTTAGTGACTACTAAGAAGTAAATCTCATTCCAGCAATCCCTGTCCAACAAGTAGAACTCTCCACTGAACAAACTGATAGAAATGAAGGACTGAAATACTATGAGTATGCGTAATAAACACAAACAAAGCTAATACTTTTATTAATAATGGAATGAATTGATCAAAATTAAGGGCCTGTTCAAACTTGTAAGGGCCTGTTCTATTTGTCTGAGGGCCTGTTTAAAATTTTGGGTAGGCCTGTTCACATTTTGCGTAATTTCATGCCCTGTATATATATATATATATATATATATATAGAGAGATTGAGTCGATGTATCGTATGTATGTATGTATCTATCCTATAGGCTGGACCCAAACCGCCCGCAAAGTGGCGATCTGGAATGCAATTTTTCACAGGCCATCCACTTAATAAGCCGCGGGAGTGTACCTCAGCTGAAAAAACCTGCGCGTAAACCGTCACTCAACGGCGCAGAAAAACTACCGTGAAAAAACCCCTCAAAGTCGTCGAATAATTCACATACAATGTCAGCACCTGACTGTACAGCTGCAAGGCACATCTCAAGAAAAATCGAGTCGACAGTCAATTACCATCAGCTGGCTGGTATGTGTGAAACCCGAAAACGCCGAGCAACACCGAACACTATCAAAACAGAGCACATCCCAGAGGTTACGACAGTGGCATGTTTATGCAACAACGGCTTTGAAATGAGAACGCAACGCCATTCATCACACTGCTGTTTAACGTCCGCAATAGCGATGCATGCCGTAAACGTGGGAGCTCACATTTCGAAGGACAGCCACGGAATCTTGCTACATATTCCACCAGACGATAAACAACGAAAGTCGACAAACGGTTATTTATCAAGAGTTTTCGAAATAAAAAATGCAACCTGCCAATTCTGTACATGCGTGTTAATAAAAACTTTCTCATTTACACGCATACATTAACTAATTAGGTCCACGGGTTCTAAAAGTTGGGTTGTGCACGGCATGATGAATAATCGTCAGTATTAACAGTTGTTGCCGCCATGCGTGTATTATCGGTAAGACTGATTTCTAAATATAATTTGTGAAATAGTATTGTCGATTTTTACCCAATGTTCCTCCATGTGTCCCATTAGGTAGATAAACGAATTATAGTAGCGCACGAATTTACCACAGCTGGCAAGGCGGGTTAGCTTCAGCAGCATAGTAATAAATAGTTATAGACAGAGAGGAGAGCGAAGAGAAATATATTGTGGCCTGCAAAGAATGCTGCAGGCATGTGATTGAGTAGCGAAGAGACAGATACAGCTCAAGATGGTCATGACACATGAAAAATAGTGAAAAATCAATATTGAACGCAATGGAAACACATTATAGTATTAAACAAGTAATTCCGAACTACCTATCATGCAAGTCAAAAGACAGTTATGACATAAGTGGATCAATGACAGTTGCAGGGAGTTCCGCGAAAACCTCAAAAAGTGGTGATTGCATATGCGAATTATGATATATAGGTCATGTCAGCCTGTTGCCAAGAAACAAGATATATGGGTCAGAAATTTAAGACTGTGCTTTGTGACTATGGTCATTGGGATTGTACTAAATGATGGACGAACGAAAACTCATTCAGCATTGAATATAGGTAAAGTGATTCAAATGAGCAAACTCAGAGAACTGCAAACTAAATAGCAGGCTTTTTTTCCAATTGGTGATAAATAATGTTGATATTGCAAACTTGAATTGTTTACGTACTAGTCTTTGATTTTCTAGTGATTTACCACGAGCTAAGACATTCTGGAGCATGTAACAGCTAGGGGTCGAAATTAATTTTATTATGGTATCTCGATTCGCGATAACTAGGGATTGAATATCTGCTATCGCCATTTTTTTTGGAAATCAGTAATTCAAACAATGTTGGTAAATCCAAATCTTAAAATATAGCTGGCGTTCACATTGAGGATACAGCTACCGGTACTGAGCGTTTCACACGGTAAAGAATATTCAAGACTTATTATATGGACGGGCCTCCCAATACCAAGAGCTGAAATCAACGAGGCTTATCTCGGACCCGGAGAAAATTTGATTCCGCGCGATGAAACAGACGGCAACCAGTGCCGATCAAGGAGGCGCGTGGCCGCGTATTGTCTGTCGGGATTTGCAGGAATTTCAAAGGCGCTCACGTCGTAAGCCCGTCAGAACAAGTAAGTCGCTACATAGAATACAGGCGGCGAAGGGTGTCGGTGTTTTTCACCCTTAGATGGCACTTCATGCCATTAGAAAAATATTGTGCGTCCCGAATTCCTTTGATAATGACCATTCATCACCAAAGAAATTAGTAGTTTATTTGAGATCCATCATCTTTGTGTGGAATTGTAAGCTGAGAAGAAACTGTCCAACACAACAACTACGACCTTCACTGGGGCGGCCGCGCCATCAAATTCGAAGAAATCACCTTCGCAGCCTAGACCGAGAACAGTATTTAATATGAATCTCGTGTGAAACGCAAAGCTCTTATGCAATAATAGCATTTGAGAAAATTAACTTAAATCAATGTCAA